TCTCTGCAGCTCCTCATCCCGTTACACTGCTCATTAGGCCCAGCTTCCCCTGTTGAATTTTCTAAGAACATCTCCTCATCCTGGCAGAGTGGGGACTAAGAGTAGGCAGGAAATGCAACCAAAGACCCAGATATTCCTCTTCAGAAATACACATGTTCTTGATGCCAGAAAATTCCACTCTCCATAATACACAACAACTATTCATTTTGTGATGAGTTGAGTTGCAAGGGGCACAGGGGGAAAGATCACTAATTAGAAAGAGACTTGGATAAGAACTGTGGCTGAGTACTTATTATAAATGTGACTGGGTGATTTCCCTTCTCTAGAACCTTATTTTCCATAACTACTGTGGACAAGGGCCCAACCATTTATACTATCAGCCCCCAACGAGGGAGGTGAGCTGGCCTAGCATAACAAAAGCGAGTCAGAAAGAAACATGCCAGGAGGGTCAAACCACTACCATCACCTCTCCTCGGACCCCAATAGAGTTAATCCAGGACTCTGAAACCCAACAGTCTTAGGTGAACAGCAGTGGCCACTGGACTGCTTTGCCTCCACAAACATTGATGTGAGCATTCCCTGAGAAGATTACCTTTCTCAACACCATTACCAACAACCATTTGTCAGCTACCACTGGTGGGCAGGTAAGGCCAAGAGAACCAGGAATGGCAATATTCCCCAACACACTGGCCCTGCTTCTGGCCCAGCAACTTATAGCCATTATCCAAGGAAGCCCCTTGAAGGCTTCACACCAAAATCCTCGGCACTGTCGAATGATTCAACACCAGAAACACTATTTTATCAGTGTTTTACATTAAAGAAGTTGCCTCACTACCTGCTTTGCAGATGCACCTGATAGACCACAAGACCTTTCCATCTGACTTACAGCTGAAATATCCAATATGTACTGCCTCCATCAGAATGTGGCCTCCTCCAGAAAAGGGACTGCCTCTGCTCTTTATTTGAACCTTCCAAGCTTATTAGCACAGGGCTTTACACATAGGAAATAATCAATGCTTTTTCATTCATCCATAAAATGATCATCTCTCAGACCCCTTACAGCTCTAAATCTTACGATCAAAAGTACTACAGTGAAGCCCAAGACCTCTGTTGGTCAATAATACACGAGACATAATTTCCAAATCTTGTCCCTCATTAGAATGTGAGCTCCTTGAGGACAGGGATCATGTTTTTACCTTTCTTTGTTGCCTTTCTCCAACCAACTGCCAAATCTCACTGTTTGTACATCTTTACAACATCTCTCACGCAGACTCATGCAGCTCCCACCTAAGTTCAGTCTCTCATCATCTCTCTTCCAGATTGCAACAAGACTCCCAAATGGTCTCCTGCCTCAATTTTCTCACCACTCCAGTCTATCTTACACACTACTTCCAAAGAAATTTTCCTTAAGTGCCTATCTGACCATATCATTCCCCCCACCCCCTACTCAATAAACGTCAATGGCTTCCTATTGCCTCTAAAACAAACTCCTCTGTTTAGCTTTTAAATAAGATCTACAAAATCTGGACCCAACCTATCTTTCCAGCCTCGGTGGACATTACTCCTCCTCCCTCTCTATACTCTGTGAACCAGCCAAACTGGCTTTTTCTTTGTTCCTCACACAAAACACTCCATCTCCTGTATCTATTGCTTTGAGCTGGTTGTTCTATATTTCTGGAATACATTCCATATTTACCTCCTCCTCGGGGTCCCTCTCTTTATTGAAGACAGTAGCTCAAGGACTGTTTCCTACAGGAGCCTTTCATAATCCTCCCAAACTATCTTGAACGTAGATTTGTATTTATTCATGTTATATTATGCTGTATATATTTATATATTAATGTACATGCGGTCTCCTCCATTACAATGTTAAACTCCAGGTGAATAAGAAATATTTCTTTCCCCAGAGCCTAGCAAAGTGTTGGGCAAAGTATAGGCACTTGATACATACTGGTTGATTGACTGGTGTAACCTTAGCCTGTTTCTTTATGTGTAATATAGGGATAACTATGTTACCTATCTCACTCAGTCATAGGGAGGCACAAATTATGTGCATGTAAAACCCTTGGTAAATTTTAAAATGCTAGCTAAATATCATCCATTATTATATTATTACCTAGAGATATTATTTCTTGAGAGAAGAATTCAGGGATCTATGAGGTTAGGATAATAACAATGATAATAATAATAATAATACAGGCCCATGAACACGGTTGGTCTTGGAGCTAGGAGAGTAGGTTTTAACCATGATTCTGACACCAGCTGTGTGACTAGGTTTCTCTTGAGCTTTTGTTTCTCTGCTCAAGGACAAAATGAGGAAATAGATACAAAGGTTCCATAGGCATAATGATCAGGGAGGCAGCCAGAGCAACTGGTGCTTGAAAGAATGAACTTATATCAGATTGCGCACCATCTTGGGGAGGTAGGTAGGGAGAGATAGAGAGAAAATTTTAAAACTTAAAAGCTTATCGAAGTGATTGTTGAGAATTCAAAATGAATTAATTAAAAATTAAAAAAAAAAAAAAAGAAAGTCACGCTCTTGACCATTCCTGTAGCTAGGCCCCTCCAATCTCTCCCCACTCCAAGATGATCTATCAAGGAGACCAAGCAGTCAGTCATACAAGTAAGACAAACAAGCTAGAGTAGTGCTGTGGAGGGAGTCATGTCATCATCTCTGGACTGTGCTAAAGACTAATTGTTCTCCTTGGTTCCTTGGCCCCCAGACTCTAGATGCTGGGAGAGCCCTGGGAACCTAGAAAATAGAGACTGCAAAACACCACAGAGTTAACAACCAGAGTGAATGAAATTTCTGGGGTGCCAAAGGATCAGTGGAAGAGCTTGATAAGCGAGTTCAATGAAACACACCAGGTTTGGATGTAGATTTTCTGCGTTAATTTAATCATACAAATATTCATTTATACAGTAATGAAAAGCCTCTTCGCCATCTCCTCCCAGGCACTGTGAGGCCCCCACCACATCATCCATCTCTCTCTCTCTCTCTCTCTCTCTCTCAACACATGCATCACCACCCTAACAAGAGGGGACAGCATGGAGCTGCTCCTGCTCCATCATGCCACCCCACTCCAATGACCAGAGAGAAGGAAGGAAAGCCTAGGCAGAGAACAAAGTGCATTTCCAGGTCAGCCCAGCACCCCTACACTCCAGATGCTAGGGTACAGACCAAGTCCTGGAGGTTCTGTCCCCATTACCTTCCCTTCCTAGTTAACGTCAGGTCATATTACTGTGTCAGGGCAGATTCTTTCCCAGCTGGAAGCATCCCTCCCAGAAGGAAGCACAGATTTACTTTAGAAAAATGCTCCCAAACAACTCTTATCCCTCCTTCCCCTAAAGGAACACATACATACACACCACACATACTGATCTCACCCTGAGCCCCCTAGCTCCTCCCCATTGGCCTATAAGGTAGACCATGAGTCAGCACCAAAGGGGAAATACTTCCCATTCTGCAGACAAGGCAGCAAAACGTCTCCCTCCTTACCTCAATGGGGAAGGCTGCCCTGTCCAGAGATTTACAGGTATTTTGGGATGTTTCCAAAATAAGGACAGAAAGAACGGGAGCATTCTACTAGTTAGTCAAAGGAGAAGAAAGGAAACAAACAGGGAAGTCAGCAGCTAAAAACTCATACCTGACGGATGCCCTTGTTAACCCATGAGAGCTGCTGACCACGCCCTGCTTCACTTGATCCAGACAGCACTCACTCCTTGGTCTGTATTTTGAAGGGAGTTTAAGCTGACTCCAGTGTGTGCAGGTAAGAATCATCACCCAACTGCAGGGAAGGGGTCAGGCCTGTGATTCAAGAAGGCCCACGGCATCTATAGCCAATCCCCCCTATTGCTATTACAGTGGGTGGGACAACTCTTTTAAATACAAATTAGGCCTGAGTATCATGTAGCAAAGGGTACCCTGGGAGGGGCTACTGATTTTCCACTTTCTGGGCTAGCAAAAGAGGAAGGAACTAGCAGAAGACTCCTGGGTCTCAGGATATAGCCTAAGTCTGCAAAAAGTTTGAAAGGGCAGAAGATGGTAGCAGAAGCAGAAATCTATGCCTCTCTCCAGAATTCCACAATCTGCTTCTTAGAATTTGGAACTCTGCTGGTTTAACTCAGCTCCATGGCCTACTAGTCACCCAGCACATTTTCCCCCTTTGCAAAGGGGATGAGGCACTCAGCATGTGCATAGAAAATGGTTACTGCAGTATAAACACTACCCCCAATCCCATCCTGGTCTACAATTGCCCCCTCATGATCAAGTTGGCTCCTAACATTCCCCAGGGCTTCCCTAATAGGCAAAAGGCCAACCTCTCATTATAGGGGACACACACACACACACACACACACACACACACACACACACACACACA